CCAGGGACATCTACATGACCATAGGTGTGAAATTAACCACTGGAGCCTGGTGGATTCATCAATGCCTACCAAACTGAAGACTATGACTCCCCTTTTTAGTATCCTTCAATGGTGAGTACTTCCCCAGGGTAGGCAGTTAAGACAGTGTTAGGAGCCCTGGACAGCTCTGTCTCCATCAGTTCAAATCTACAGCAGCAGAAAGAACTCATAGACCCATATGCGACTTGCCCCAGCATGGCTGTTCTGAAGACAATGTCTCATATGCCAACAGCAGAGACTAATCCTTGACTCCCACTACTATGTCATGGTCAGAAGGAAAGCCATTTACCTCTTCTTGGAGGCAGCATTTTGTCTAATTGGAATAAATTGCATTACATTTCAGAGAAGCATACATTTTTTTCCACCCAGTGTCTGCCCAAACCAGGGGATTTCTAAATGGCTAAGTATTAACTCTGTGACCAAGAGAGCTGGCATTCTAGCTTAAGGGTAAGATGTATTCAGCTTAGAGATTTCAGCTGATAGTACTTAATTCCACTGAGCTTGTGGAAAGGAGTGTGCAGACGAGTCTTGTCATCTCGTGGTAGACAAAGTAGAGTAAGGACAGGACCAGGGAAGGAACAAATTTCAAACCCATCAGTGATCAATATTCTTAACTAGGTCTGTCCCTCTAAAATCCCACACCTTCAAATAAGAACACCGTGAGCCTGTGGGAGACATTTTGTTTTCAAAACACAGTCTCCTAGCCATTGGTCAAAGGCTCATGACCACCTCATCATGTAAGATTAGTTTAGCCCCTCTCCAAGAGTCACCGAGATCTTAACAGCTCCAAAACTGTCCAAAAGTCAAAACTCAGCATCTCCTCTGAGGCTCAAAGCAACTCTTAATTGTAGTCAACTTTAAAAAGTGAAAAATATTTTACATGGCCCATGCACCGTGATGCAGTAAACATGCCCATTTCTGCAAAAAGAGGAAAGGGGACGGGCATGGAGAAACAGGAACAAAACGAGATTGGAATCCTGCGGTGAGGGCATTAAATCCTTCAAATATGTGTTGGAAGAGAGGGCACCTGAGGTAGGCTGAAAGTCTCAGCAGGCTTCAGCAGCCCATCACATAGTCTGGCTGTTTTCTGCCCACAGGACATTCCTCTGAGTTGGTGTCACTCATAGACTCTCTTCAGCAGACATTCCACATTCCTGCCATCTCCATCACCCAGGAAGTCCCCATTGCAGCTTAGCCCTCATCTCCCAGCTTCATATAGGCAGGGATCCTGACCCTCTCATAAACTGCCAGGACCCACAGAGCTTTTCTTTGAAGTCTGGGTGGAAGAATTCATTCCCTGGCAACTCATGCATTTTGCAAACCAGGAAAACCAGTATCACAAGGATAAACCCAGGGTCTGTTGCCAACTGGAGTAGTGGCCTGGATCCCTTGCCCTGTGGCTGGAGGGATTTCTGAGTGCTTGGGAAGATGAGTCCCAGGGTGGCCCTGCTCAAGCAGAACATCCCACAGTCCTCAAAGTCTACTTTTAAAGGAGCGAAAAAACTCTTTGCACCATTGATTCAGAGATACAGGTCCAGCTACTTGTAAAGATGAAATGAAGATAACTTCTTATTCTGCAGTGTTTCCTGTTACAGAAAAATGAGATTTTTTGTGCTTTTTTTTTTTAATGTGTGGCCCAGGCTGGCCTCAAACCCATGATCCTCCTGCCTCTGCCTCCTTCAGCAAATCCTACCAGCGTGTGCCACCACAACCTGCTGAGATTTTTCTGCTGCGGTAGAATTCCTATTCTGTAAGTCTATAGAAAAACCATTTAGCTTTGCTATTCTTCAGAACCTAAGAATTCTTCCTACTTACCATGAAAATTCAGTTATTTGAATTTTTCAATGCATCTGGGGGCTACATTTGTAAACTACTATTGCAGAAACCCTCTGCATTTTGTGCTTCTCACAATGTCACTTTTATTATTTTTATGTATATCCTTTCAGCTTTATGGAAACGTAAGTTATAAGAAATGTTTATCTTTATGATGATACATAAGGTAATTTGTAAATGATGAATTTGTTACTTAAATAATTTAACAATAATAATTTAGTATTTCATTCAATGCATGAATCATCCCCTTGGGAAAAAATACAGATTTACTAAATGGGAGTCTCTTTTTATTGAAAATAGTTTTTTTCACATAATATGTTCTGCTTATGGTTTTCCCCGCCAGTTCCTCCTAGTTCCTCCCTACCTAAAACGGGGTGTTACTTTTATTTTTGTTCTTAAGTTTTACAATTATTTTCTTAATTTTATCTCATGTATATGGATCTTTTCTCTACATGTATGTAGGTAGCGTGTGAATGCAGGGCTGATGCCAAAGGAGGCCAGAAGAGGGCACTGTATCACCTGGGATTAGATTTACAGAGGGTTGAGAGCCACCATGTGTGAACTGAGCTGGGACCTCAGGAAGAGCAGCCCATGCTTGTAACCACTGAGCCATCTCTCTAGGCCCCGTAGGTAGCTTTCAAATGTGTGAATGCTTAAGCAATGCAGGCTTTGCCTTTGGATGTCCCCCAATAACCTTTATTGTCCATTGTCTCAACTCTATGGTTAATAAAATGATGATGTCTCCTGTGGCCTTGTTCTTCACCATGGACAGGCACCAAGCATTTCACCATTAAGGGGAAGACTAGAAGCCGGGCGGTGGTGGCGCATGCCTTTAATCCCAGCACTTGGAAGGCAGAGGCAGGCGGATCTCTGTGAGTTCAAGGCCAGCCTGGTCTACAGATCCAATTCTAGGATCATTTGCTTTCTTTTTTTAAAAATTTTTGTTAAAATAAATTATGTCTTAGAAACATGCATGCATGCTTCACATGTCAATCCCAACTCCCTCTCCTACCCCTCCTCCCTTGTCCCTTCACCAGCCCTCCTCCAGCTCCCCATCCAATCCCCACATCGTTCCCCAGGGAGGGTGAGACCCTCCTTGGGGGGGATCTCCAGAGTCTGTTATTTCATCCAGGGCAGGACCTATGCCCTTCCCCATGTGTCCAGGCTGAGAGAGCATCCCTACATGTGGAATGGGCTCCCAAAGTTCATTCGTACACCATGGTAAACACTGATCTACTACCCAAGGCCTCAGAGATTTCTGAGGCCTCCTCACTGATGCTACATTCATGGAGTCTGGATCAGTCCCCTGTTGGCCTCTCAGCCATCAGTCTGGGGTTCAAGAGCTCCGCCTTGTCTGGTCAGCTGTCTTTGTGGGTTTCACCCCCACGGTCTTGACCTCTTTGCTCATCACTCCTCCATCTCTGTCACTGGGTTCCAGGACTTCAGTTCAGTGTTTAGTTGTGAGTATCTGTCTCTGTTTCCATCAGTCACTGGATGAAGGTTCTAGGATGTCATATAAGGTAGTCATCAACCTTATCATTAGGGAGGGGATATTAATGTAGTCTCTCCACTATTGTTTAGTTTGCCAGTTGGTGTTATTCTTGTAGATCTCAGGAAATCTTACTACTGTCAGCTCTCTCCTCAAGCCTATAATGACTCCATCTATTATGGTATCTCTCATCCTGCTCTCCTCTATTCTTACCTCGACTCAACCTTCCTGCTCCCCCATGCCTTCTTCTCCCCTCCTCTTATCCCCCTCTCTTTTTCCTGGTTCCCTCTCCCCTTCCCCGATGTTCCCAATCTGCTCAGGAGATCTTTCTCTTTCTACTTCTCTGGGGTATCATGCATCTCTCTTGGGAACTTCCCTGTTTTCCAGACACACTGGAACTGGGATTATAGGCTGACACTCCTCTGATCCATGTCTAAAATCCATATATGAGTGAGTACATACCATGTTTGTCTTTTTGTGACTGGGTTACCTCACTCAGGATGGTTTCTTCTAGTGCCATCCATTTGCCTGCAAATTTCAAGATTCCATTGTTTTTTTTCCACTGAGTAGTACTCCATTGTGTAAAAGTACCACATTCACTCTATCCACTCTTCAGTTGAGAGGCACCCAGGTTGCTTCCAGGATCTACCTATTACAAATAATGCTGCTGATCATTTGCATTCTTGATGACTGCTGTTCTATCAGGAGTGACAGGGAAATCGAAGTGTCACCCAGCCACCCTTCTTGACCCTGCATTGAGTGAGTGAGAAAGTTTGTGACCTTTTCTCTGCTTGAGTTCCTGTCACACCATATACCTAAGTCTGGGCCCTGAGTAAATTAAATATTACCATATACCAGTTCTTCTTAAGAAGTAACTGGAGAAACCCTGTCTCGTAAAAACCAAAAAAAAAAAAAAGTAGCTAGTACAATTTTATTTATTTATTTATTTATTTATTTATTTATTTATTTATTGTGGTTTTTCAAGGCAGGTTTCTCTGTGGCTTTGGAGGCTGTCCTGGAACTAGCTCTTGTAGACCAGGCTGGTCTCAAACTCATAGAGATTCACCAGCCTCTGCTAGTACAAGTGCTAGTACAATTGTTTTTCTTTTAAAGGATTAATGTAGAATACTAACCCCAACTTATATCAAAATACAAAACTGTGAAGTTGGTATCTCAGGGTTTGAGGGGCTACTATAACGAGGTAACTCTGTGTGGACTTAGCTGAGCCATGGAGTTAAGTAGGAAGGAAGGAGGAGAGAGAGAGAAAGGGAGGGAGAGAGGGGAGGAAGAAGATAAGGAAGCAAAGCAGGGGAGACAGGGAGGGAGGAAGGATATGAGGGAAAGGAAAGAGGAGGAATGGATGGAGAGAAGGGGAAGGGATGAAGGAAAAAGGAACCGGAGAAGGAGAGGGAAAGCAGGGGAAGAAAGGACAGAAGGATGGGGTAGGTAGAGACAGACAGGAAGGGAGGGAGAGAGGAAGAAGGGAGGGGAGAAAGCAAGAAGAGGAGGCAGGAGGAATTGATTAGAGGGAGGGAGGGAAAAGGAAAGGGAGAGGAAGCAGCGGGAAGGGGAAGGGGATGGAGAAGGACGAGGAGGAGAGAGGGAAGGACGGAAGAGATGGGGGACCGGAAGTGCGAAACAGGAAGTCCTCTCCGGAGCCACTCCAGTGCTAAGGTTTGGGCCTGCCTCTCAGCTTGTGCAGATGAGACTCTGGAACCGGTAAGGTTGGCTGCCTGGGATGCCCTGCAGTGTGTGCTGCCCTGTGCCCTGCTGGGTGCCCTGCTGTGGTGTGCCCTGGACACCACATGCAAAGCCCATGCGAAGCGCCCCTGCACTCTTCAGGAGACACAGCCAGGTACTGCCTGGTGCAGTGGTTTCCAGTGCAGTGGGCACACTCTCACCACAGCTCCACGGGCAGAATTTAATGCTCAGGAGAGTTGAAAAAGGGGAGCGGGGAGTGACTTGATTTCCTGTTTTAATTTCCATGAACATGTCTATATGACACGTTAATTCATTTGAGTAATGATTTTATTCTTCCTGCCTCTTCTCTACTCTCCCCCGCATGCAGCCATCGAAGGCCCCTTTGTCATCCTGTTGTCTCTAGCACAACCAAGCTTAAGGTGTGATTATAAAGCAGTGGAATCCAAAGACGAAAATAAGAATAAAGGTCCACTCACCACAGCATCAGACAAATGGTCGTGTATGTTAGGGGAAACATAAGTATCCTGATAAAAATTAAGAAGATATAGCAAACAGACACGCATGCCTGTGTTTCTAGACCAAAAGAGGGCAATTTCCCCCAATTTGATTTGTAATTTCAATTCAGTTAGTAGCAAAATTCCCCAGACCTTTAGTCCACGGAAACTAACAAACAAATCTAAACATCTATATGACGATGCCCAAAACACACAAGGACCCAAGAAATTTGGGGACAGACAAGGCAGGAGGACCTCCGCTTACAACCTCTTAATATAAGTCTCCTACTGTCTAGTCAGTATACACAGACATATGGACAAATGGGACAGAACTGTGAGTCCAGAAATAAATATTTACATTTATAGTCATTTTATTTCTGGCAAAGGTGCCAAAAATAATTGCTGGGGGAAGGAGTGTCTGCTCGCCAGATGGTGCTGGGACAACGGGATACCATATGCAAATCTGAGACCACACCTTGCACCACCCACGAAATTCACTCAAGGCACAGATTTCAGTGAGGTATCTAAAATGATAACCAGTGGAACAAAACACAGGAAGGTAATTTTCAGCTTTCACATTAGGTATCGATTTCACACACAGGATTGTCAAGGGACCATTCACTCAAGAAGAATGATCAACCCACCAACATCCAAAATTTATGTAACAAAAAAACCAGCATTCAGCAAATGAGAAGATGAGCATTCCATGGTGGAAAAAGCTTATATCACAGTAATTCAATAGTTACATAGAACACCTACTGCTCAACAGATCTATATAAAAAAAGTAAAAGATAAAGACAGACACACAGAAGGCTTTGTGCCCCTGGCTAAAACACCCAAGAAACAGTGTTCAGTATCATTAATCATGTGGAAAAGGAAATTAAACCCACAATGAGAAACCATTTACAAAGACGTTGTAACTAACAAGGCTGTCCCTAACAAACTTTGGTAAAGACACCACAGTGAGCAAGCCAATTCACGCAAGTGTTTCTGGGTATGTCAAATGGTGTGGCTTTTCCAGAAGAGAGCTGAGCAAGTTGCTCACAAAGGTAAACAAATAACAACAAAAACAACAAGGAAAACCCTTCCAGAAATTCTACTACTAGGAGTCTACTCAAAACAAGAAGCCAATCAACATCTCAGCACTCAGTGGGGATGACTCCAGAGCCCCCTTAGTCAACTGAATTGTTATTGACAGTTGATGGCTTGAGGGAGGGGGACTAAGTTTTTTTTAAGGGTAACAGTCCCTTGCAGGTTGATCCTACTCCAGTGGATGGCGCCATGCTCATGAGTGTAATAATATACTTATGGGCATAAAAAGCTAGGCTCAGTGGGTCAGTTAAAATAAAGTCTTTAAAAGACAAGATTTTGGGAGGAAGGGAGTGGTAAGGGATGGATCTGAGAAAAGTTAGGGAAGGAATGGGGGCTGAATATGATAAAAATATGTTGTATACGTGTACAAAAAATGTCAAATGATTAATAGAATTGTATTATGAAGGAAGAAATTATATTCACGTTAACATGTGAATATGAATATTCATAGCATACTTCTAGCAATATTGGATAAGTATGCTAACCCACTAGGAAATGGGTCTGAAAGTCTGTATATTACATGCTAGAAAGCAAGTCATTGCATGGAGAACGAAGAACTGACATACCCTTCCTTGTGGTTGAGTATGGTAAGTGTGGAAAGCCAGACATCAGCGGGGATGAAGCCCACACCTCTGTTTGTGTCCAATGTCCAAGAAAGGAAAACTTGAAGGGATGAAATAGAGCACGCGGCGGGGGGGGGGGGGGTCTGGTACAGTTTTGCTCGGAATGGACAATTGGGTTTCCAACCGGTGGGTTAAAGCATTGGAATTGTTTCCCATGCCGGCTTTCTCATATGCTAAGGGGCTCAAAATAACTGAATCACGCAGTTGAAATAGGTGACTTTCGTGACAGGTCAAACATTGCTTAAGAAAAGCAGACCACATTGGGCAGATTAATTAATTTATGTGTTAACTGCTTTCTTTCCTTCACTCAAACCGAGGCCAGTGGATCAAGCAGGAACCAGGCTGACCGCCAGGGTGGGTCTGCCTCTCAGTCTGCACAGGGCGATGGATCACAGCACATTAAGTTTCCAAAATTCTCACTTCTTGTGATTATAATACTTTAAAAATATTAATAGCTTGAGAAATGGAGAGATCACGTCTCTATTGGGCAACGCTGAGTTCAGGATGATGTCCGTGAAAAACTCGGATTAATATAAAGTCATTTCTGGTTTGCTATTTAACATATCAGTGCTAAATTATTGTCTGAGAATAGCGGTTATTATTTTTTAGGTAATGTAATGAGCTCATTTGGCAATCCTCAGTTATGACTTTAGAGTAGAAAGTCTGTATTCCCACAAAGAACATCACCTGTGGACAGACAGCAGACAAAACAAAAACCAAGGAGCCTGTCCTTTGCAAGGGACGCTGGGGAGGTGGGAGCCGAGCTCTGCTCAGCTCACAGAGCATGGAAGCAGCACACATTGGTGCTGAGTGGACAGACGGATCCGGTGTGAGCAAACAGCCTGTGACCCTGTGAAACCACAGAGGCCGTGCTGGCTGGGAGCACAGGTCCTGTGGGTCTGCCAGCCCAGACCCAGATGGGCCAGGCTCAGTTTAACACTCTCTGCTGCTGTCTTGACATGCTGAATAACGCCTTAGCAGGGAGCCAGTATTTTTCATTTTTGCAAATTAGAATTCAAAGAAAACAGATGTCAGGTCGGAAGTGGCACTTCCCAGATTCGTTCTGCCTCAGCTGATGCCCACTATTGAGATCTTCCCTCCTCTTGCCTGTTAAGTCAGAAAAGCAAAAGACAGGTGTCTTTTCCCACTGTGTCCAAGTGAGCCAAAGGATTTGTGCAAGCGTCTAACTCAGAGTCACTGTTTTGCTCAAGGTACTGAATTCTGTGCAGATACAAAAGATTTCCTGGTTCTTTGTTCATGTAAGTGCGTGTGTTTTCATTTGTGTACGGGTGCACGTGTGTACACGTGCATAGGCGTGCTCATATGCACCATGAGATTCTTTGTTTTCACTTGCCCGCATTAGCAGATGATCATTTTTATTTGTTTTTACGCAGTATATTTTGATCATATTCTTTTCCTTCTCCTAACTCCTTCAGATCATCTTCACTTCTCTACCGACCCAACTTCCTCCTCTTGTTCTTGCTCCCATAATAAAATAAAATAAAATGAAAATTAAAACAAACAACAATGAGCCAAAAATTGCCAAAGAAAAACAAAATAAAAAGCACATACAAAAGCCATGGAATCCATTGTTTTCCGGTCAACTATTCCTGGCATGGGGCCTGTGTTAGCATTCAGGCATCTGTACGGCTTTGTCCCTGGGGTTCTGATAGGATACATCCTCAGCTGCAGCCTGTGCACATTCACTATATTCCCTTTTTAAAGGGCCCCGCCCACCTCCCATTTCTCTCTCTCTGTCTCTCTCCTTCTCTGCCCATCTCTCTGTCTCCCCCTCTCCCTTTCTCTCTCTCTGCCTCTCTCTCTTTTGTTGCTCCTGTCTCCAGAGACCAGTCTCTCCCCATCCCTCTTTTCCCATTCTCTTTCCCCTAGCTTAAATAAATAAATAAACCCTTCACTTGAGGTCTATCTCCTGGCCTCTTTCTGTCTCACACCATAGTTTTAAATCGCAACAACCTGCCCTAGAGTGTTTGATATACCCAGCGTCATTCCACTGGAGAAAGTATGTCCCCTTTCTCAGTAGATGTCATCTGCAAATAGCCTCTTGGTTGGAGGCGGGACCTCATGTCCACGCCCACCTCTTTACAGTGGGGCTTTGTCAGGCTTGACCTTGTGCAAACCTTGTGTATGACGTTACTTTCTCTGTGATTTTATGTGTGCATCAGCCTTGCTGTGGCAGATGATCTCATACACACGGTCTCATCTATGCCTTTGCAAACACACGAACACTCATATTGTGTTTCTCAGTGGTGGCATTAGTTGATTATCTGACATCGTCTTCCTCCACCATCAGCTTGCTTCGTTGAGTCCTTTGTGAACACTGAGGCTATTGATTTAGTTGTCGCAGACCACCACACTCTTATTAAGTAAGACAACGTAGCACAGGCTTCACTGCCGCGCACACGCACAGCTTCATCTTGCCAGACTGGGAAGCCCACAGAAGTGCCAAGCACCTGTCAGCCTCCGGGGGAGAAGGGAAGAGCAGCTGTCCGCAGGCTCACTGCTGGAGGCAGCTTCACTCCCACCCGACACTTGTGGACAGAGAAGCAGAAGGAAGAGCACCAGACGAGGCAATAGCGTCTGTTTTGAGATGAAATCTGCAAGTGCCGCTGTGTTAAATCCACGCTGGAAAGGGGCTGCTGCCTGCTAAAGGGGCTGAGCCATTCTGCAGTCACGTGACGACTATCAAATGCACCATACGTGGATAACGTGTGTGTGTGTGTGTGTGTGTGTGTGTGTGTGTGTGTGTGTATGTGAGTGTGTGATTTTTGTCATTGGAGAAGCTTAGAAC